CTTGTTGAAGAGGCTTTCCTTGTTCCACTTCATATTTCTTGCTCCTTTGTCAAAGATTAAGTGGTCATATATTTGGGGATCTGTGACAGAATATTCAACTCTGTTCCACTGGTTTGCAATAAAGACCGTTATTATAGGTGTGAGGTAATAGCCCATTGTCATTTTGACTTGCATTTCCCTGATATTCAGTGATCTGGACATATTTTCGTTTGCCTGTTGGTTATCTATATGTGTTTGGGGAAATGTTTGTTCCAACTTCTTTCCAATTTTGCAGTGAACTTGTTTTCTTTATAGTTGTTGACTTCTTATGATTACTTTATATATCTTAGTAATATAATATCCCTTGTCAAGATGTGTGATGTGCAAATATTTGCTCCATTTAGTAGAATGCTGTTTTGAGTCAGTAATACTTTGTTCAAAGTCCAAATTTTAGGGGCTGGAGCAATAGTACAGCTGTTAGGGCGTTTGCCTTGCACGTGGCCCCCCTGAGTTCCATTCTTAGCATCCCATATGGTCCCACTTGCACAGCCTAGCCAGGAGTAAAGTTTGAGTGCAGATACATGAGTAATTCCTGTGCATCGCCAAGTGTGAGCCAAAAAGCAAAAAACAAAAACACAAATTTTAAGCTTGATGTAACCACATTTATTTTTGCTTTTTCTGTCCTCACAATGGAATTAAAGTATCCAAGATACACTGAAGTCAGTTTGGTGGAGTATTTTATCTATGTAACACACCACATCAACAAAAGGAAACATAGAGATTGTCCAGTCATATCAGTAGATACATAATAATATTTTTAGGAGGGGAGGATCGGTTTTGTCCTCACCTGTATTAGGTGCTTGCTCTGGGCTCTAGACTCAGGGATGTTCCTGGAGGTGTTCAGGGTATCAGATGGCGTATAGTGATTGAACCTGGGTTGATCATGTGCCAGGTGACCCAGAACTATCTCTCTGGCCTACAGAAAAAGTTTTTTTTTTGCACGAACCCGCATCCATCAATTTATGTTAAAACTTTTTAAACTGTTGATATATGGAACCATATATTGGGGGACATATGCAAAAAATCCACAACTAATATTATACTCAGTGGTGAAAACTAGAAATCTTTTTCCTGTAAGATCAGGTAGCACTGTAACACTGTAACACTGTCCTCCCATTGTTCATGGATTTGCTCGAGTGGGCACCAGTAATGTCTCCATTGTGAGACTTGTTGTTACTGTTTTTGTTATATCAAATATGCCACGAGGAGCTTTGCTGTGTGGGCAGGATACTCACAGTAGATTGCCAGGCTCTCAGAGATGGATGGAGGAATTAAACCCAGGTCGGCCACGTGCAAGGCAAATGCCCTACCCACTGTGCTATCACTCCATCAGGTAGAGAACAAAATGTCCATTTCCACCACTTATGTTTAATTATCTTTATTTGCATATGGTATGGCAATGTTTACCTTTACCTTATGGCAATGTATATAGAACATTCTAAAGTTTCCATCAGGAGTATTGGAAACATACTGATACAGTAAAATTATTGGCTATGAAATCAATAAACATAATTATGCTATTTTGACCAGATTGACAGTAAGTACAGCAGGTAAAGCAAACTTGTCTTGTATGTGCCCAACCTGGGTTATTTCCCTAACATCCCATGTTGCCCCTTGAATATTCCTTATTCCACTAGGAATACGCCCTGAGCTGAGTCACAAAAACCAAAAAAACAAAATGTTGGTTTCTCAACAAAGGAGGTAAGTAACTTATATGTTGAAAACTGTGCCACCTTTCAGAGAAATAAAAGGTAACACAGAATACAGAAAAATATCCAGGTTCATGATTCGAAGTCAACATACTCATAGCTATAAAAATTCATATATTTGTCTTCTCATACAGGATTTTGTACATATAAACTTAAATCAGAGGATAAACTCAGCTGGGTTTTGAGGTCCAGCATATCATGAACAGTGTAGCTTTGGTTTACTCAATGTAAAATAAAATAATTTGATATTAAGGGCTAAGGTGATAGGTATAACCCCCTATTTCCAAAAGGTAAAATTAAGGAAAGCAATTTTAGAATATGATGGCAATGTAGAAGAATATAGTTCCTATTTGGATTAAAACCTAGGAATATTAGAATACCCTCTAATTGACTAAAGAATGTTGTAAAATAGCTGTGGTAAAAAATTATTTCTATTCCATAACTAATTACAGGATTACCTCCCGTGTTCCATTCTTTAGGTATGCTTTGATATTTCTAGGATCGGGTTCTATATTTGAATCTGACAAACTTTGAATGGTCATTCTTTTTAGTTATTTTTTATCTTCTTTCACAAAACATTATTTGTTTTAGTTTATCAAAAAATCCTATATTTAGCTTGCTTGGACTCTGGGATTCTAACTACTTTGTTATTTTTATCGTTGCTCTTGTCTTGTCTTCTGTTTTGCTCCCTTTATAAAACATTCGACATGCAGCATAAAAATCTAGTTTTCCAACAAATGAGCTCCTCATGGGCTGGAGCGATAGCACAGTGCATAGGGCTTTTGCCTTTCACGCGGCCAACCTGGGTTCGATTCCTCTGCCCCTCTTGGAGAGCCCAGCAAGCTACCAGAGTATCTCGCCCACACAGCAAAGCCTGGCAAGCTACCCATGACGTATTCGATATGCCAAAAACAGTAACAAGTCTCACAGTGGAGACGTTACTGGTGCCCGCTTGAATAAAATCAATGAACAATGGTAGGACAGTGACAGTGAGCTCCTTATGGAATGTTTTCAGTTCTAATTTTTTACTAATCATCTTATTTTGTAAATACTTACATAAATATTCCCAATGGTATGTTAATTGTGGTATGAAATGTATTCTCTTTTGAAGATTAATTATTGAGCTCAAGATTATTTTATTGCATTGGAAATTTTGAAATAATATAGCTAGAGTATGTCCCCAAGTATGTTTCAAACAAAATAGATAGTTCATTCTACATGTGTGTATATCAGGATTCCATAAAGAAACTAAACTAGTAATAAGTGTGTATATGTGTTTGTGCCTGTACATGTGTCCATTATATCTGTAGCTGTGTGGTTATAGCTCTTGAGGGATTTAATTTAAGGAACAGATCTATATAATTGTGGAAGCTTGCAAGTCCAGAATCTGAGGCCGCGGCATCTAGGAAAGATTTGATGTTACATTTCAAGACAAAGGAATCTGGAAGTAGAATCTTCTTTATGGAATATTTCTTCTTTGTGGGAGCAAAAAAGTCTTTTGCTTTTTTAATTCTTGATAGCACAGCGGTAGGGTGTTTGCCTTGTGCGCGGCAGGCCCGGCCAAGCCGAGTTCGATTCCTCTGCCCCTCTCGGAGAATCCGGAAAGCTACCCAGAGTATCTCGCCCACGCGGCAAAGCCTGGCAAGCTACCCGTGTCATATTCAATAGGCCAAACACAGTAGCAACAAGTCTCAATTGAGACATTCCTGGGCCCACTTGAGCAAATCAATGAACAACGGGAGGACAGTGCCACAGTGCTTAATTTTTTATTATTCAAAAAGAATTTTTATTGATTGAAATTATGTGGTTTATAATGCTATTAATGTTTGTGTATATATACATAATGGAATCATATGCAGCTTTAAGAAAGAACAAATTAAAAGAATGTTATACTGAATGAAGTCAGTCAGAAAGAAAGGAATAGAAGCAGTCTTTCTTAAGGTATTCCCCTGATTTCATAGAATCCATCCCACTGTTGCAGGGAATCTACTGAATCTTAATCTCATTTAAAATATTAACCTCATCTAAAAATAGCTTCAGAGCAGCTGGTGCTTGACAAAGACCTGGGAACCAGGACAAGTTGAGATTTGGAATTTACAATCATAATGTATATAAACACTTCAAATCTACTGGTTATGAAAAATATATATGCATATATCTTTGTATAAATATTTTCTACGTAATATAAGTGCATGTGCAAAGTTATATATTAATTTTTAATTATTTGCTATAAAATATTGTATAATATGGTATGAATCTTTAAAAAAATTTTATTGACTCACCATGAGATACACAGTTACGAAGTTGTTCATAATTGAGTTTCAGTAATACAGTGTTTCAACATCCATGCCTTTACCAGTGCACATTTTCCACCACCAATGTCCCCAATTTTTCTCCCACCCTTCCCCCTCATCTCACCCCCGCAGTACATGATACGAATCTTGACAACATAGCTATCTTTAATCAACTATACTGGGTAATTTAGAATGTTGTTTATTGGTTGGGATATTTTTGGGGTGTGTGTGTTTGGGGACTACACCAGCTATACTTACGGGTTGCTTCTGGCTCTATACTCAGGAATCACTGCTGGTGGGAATCAGGGGAACATATAGGATGCTTGAGATCGAACTGGGTAGCCAAGTGCAATGCGAGCACCCCATCTGCTGTACTATCACTCCAGTCCCTCTTCAGTATATTTTATTATTAAGACTACTCTATATGTTAAAATTATTTTTCTAAATTAGTGACCTCATTGAATACTAACAACAATCATTATTGGCTTCAAGAATTCTGAGAGTTGTTCCCCTTTTACACCTCACCCCAAATTGTTTCTGCAATCCTAGTTTTTGACTTGTTGTATTCTTAAAAATTATTTAAACCGTGTATATTATATTCAAGTACCTCAATAGGATATAAACTATTATTTTTTAGAAGAAAACTATTTAAGGTAAATATTGGAGAAGGGAAACTGAATGAGATGGCTTGTGCCTAGAGTATGGTAACTTCGATTTTTGTGTTAAAATGAAGACTAGCATTCTTTGACCCAGAAAAATTACAGTATAATGGGTATAATACGTACTGAAAGATTTCCCCCAAGGCTCCTCTCTTTACAAATATTTGGGTTAGATATTGGATAAGGGAAAAGCTCCTCTTTTAAATATCTTCTAAAGATGTTTAAACTATTTTGGAATAATTACATCTCAGATTGTCTATGAAAGAGGAGAGATGCTGACCAGTTTTGAACTTTTTCAGATTTTTAAAAAGCGAGAAGAAGATCTTAGGCGTTTGTCTCGCCCATTGGAATGTTCTTGTTTCCGAACATCTATCTGGGATGAAACTCTCTATGAGGTTTGTATGTTCTCCTGAATTTCCCTATTTTAAGAGCATGGTAAAAAAAGCTATAAGGATATTATGAAAACAAAAAGATTTAAAACTCTTCTATAGCCATCTATGTAGACTAAATAGTAATCTATTATATTGTTTAAAAATATATATGAGACAAGAGATTTGGGGGTTGATCAGCATATCTAACAGATCAAAATGAATTAGACAAATTGTTCATGATCAACTTGGTACTGATCTTTATGTCAGAAAATATTTCACTGGTAGTCCTTCATTTTGACTTGTATTCTTAATAATTATTTAAACCGTGTATATTATATTCAAGTACCTCAATAGGATATAAACTATTATTTTTTAGAAGAAAACTATTTAAGGTAAATATTGGAGAAGGGAAACTGAATGAGATGGCTTGTGCCTAGAGTATGGTAACTTCGATTTTTGTGTTAAAATGAAGACTAGCATTCTTTGACCCAGAAAAATTATACCCATTATACTGTAATGGATATCATGTGGCTTTCAGTAATTGTAGTGGTAAGAGTAGATATATTATGGATAAAACTGAAGTTACATTATTGGCACATGCCAATATCTTTATATATTTATCATGCTTCCTCCCCTCTTAGTCCTTATCTAATGATTTGTTCTCCTCTGGACACAAAAGAATATGAATAGCTTTCCTTCATACTGCTTCTGGTATCTAGTGAGAAATTTGTGTAGTGGATGAGAAAGCATCCTCCTCTGTAACTGGTAGCTACATCCTCAGAATCAGCTTCATCTGAGAATTATTTATAACCAGAAGCACAGAAACCTGAGTTACCAAGGAGAAAAAACATTGCACTTTAGAAATAAATGATGGTTTTCAAAATCTAATTCATTTTCCCCCAATATTATGATTACCCAGCCTCACTATTAACAATCATTTTAGGATACCTGTCTAGAAAATTTTATTTTTAAAATTGATTAATTTCCATCAATATTATGGTTAGCCAATCTCACTCTAACAACAGTCATTTTTAGATACTTGTCTAGAAAATACTATTCTAGATTAATTTGGGCCGAATTTCTCTCAAAGCCTTATTCCCATAGAACAGGTTACCGTGAATAAGGATGGACATGATGCACAGATCCAACTGCGTTGTGAAGGATGGCAATACATAACACGACCAAAGACAATTGGCTAATCACAACACTGCTGTGAGTGACAATGTCTCTGCTGTGGTTAGCTTTGGTGCCTTCTCCAAGGTAAATTCAGCAGTGACATTAACACCGACCTGGGAACATGGAACTGGAACCCTAATGCCTATGTAATAAAATTAATTGAAACAGAGACTGGCGCTACTATCTTCTTTCATTGTTAAATAGAGCTGACTTAAATATTTATATTATATTAATCTTTATTCTACAAACACTCAATACATATTTATTTGATGCTATTAGACACATAAATGACTAACCAGGTTCCTGCTTCTAATAGGGAAAGAACAACATTGTGTACCTTACCAGAAAAATTGGAGTGAAATTGAAGGAAGTATTATAATGAAAATTCAAATAAGAGTTAAGAAAATAAGAGGGCATAGTTAATATTCAACTTTTTTCATTACTTATATTCATTTGGATAAAGACAGTTTTAGAAAAACACAGAGTGGACCAATTTTATTTCCATTGGATAAATATACAGCTGACTAGAAGCTTTTGGGAATCATAATATCACTGAATTCTCTGTATATAGTGGATTGAGAGTGGTGGCCATTTCTCCTTGTTACTGATAATTCCACAAAACTGATTCTTGGATGTATGTTAAATATTAGGTTCTGGTGTGAAGAACGGTCTACACTATTGAACTTAAATATTTGATGAATGGCTGGATTAGAAGCATTTTTTCACCTCACTAGATAAGAGCTTTCAACTTTCTTTCTAGCAATGTGATGGAAGTATATGATATGTTTATTTTTAATTATCAATGTAAATCATTTCCTCTAGAATTTTATGTAAGTAGAACTTAAAAATCCAATTAAAGGATAAAATTCAAATATTAACTTCTTTTTAATTTTATTTGCATTATGTTCATTAACAGTATTTGTTTGGGACTAAATTGCTGTGGGTGGGGTTTTTTGGGGGGGGTTGATGTCCATATGCTAATTTATATTTGCAAAAGTCTGGAATTGGCTCTTTGTTACTAATATTACACTGTGCTTCTGTTCGTCGATTTGCTTCTGTTCTGTTAGGCTTGGTCCAGCATTGTTTATCAACTGATTCCCATTGTTCAGCAGCTGGAAATGAACCTAAGGAATTTTGCTGAAATTATTGAAGCTGATGAAGTGATTCTATTTGAAAGAGCTACATATCTGGTGAGAATTTTCTTCTTGAAAATGTACTTACTTTCATCTTTTCAGCAATAAAAAGCAAAATATTACCAATTTCAGGAAGATCCTTTTCCCTACAATTATTTTTTTCAGCACGCAAAACATTTTTATACAGTGTATAGTAATATATAACTTAATAATGTGGATACTACCTGAGAAATGTATCATTAATGATTTTGTTGTCATGTGATCATCGCAGAGTAGATATAATCAAACACCATATATATAAAGATCACTATCATATATGTGGCCTGTCACTGGCTGAAATCTCATTACATAGCACATGAGTATATTTATAGTAAGTAACCCAAAAGAAATTCTTTGATGTATACCTATTTAGAAGTTAGCAAAACATGTATTTTATAATGTGTGGATATTTACATTATTTCTGCTAATAATTTGTGTTAATGGACTCCTGTTTAATTCTGTTAGAAAATGAGCATTTTTTTCTTATGAAACTTGTATCTCACCCCATTCTCCAAAATATAGTTAAAAACTTTTTAAAAAATTTATATAGTCCAGAGAGGAATCCGGCCGAAGCTCCACCGCAGGATGACCCATCACCTCACCGGCCCCTCCATTTCAGGTGGGTAGGGGGAGCTACGATTGCGTGCCCCTCTCCCGTGGAACCAACACCCTCCAGCAGGAACACCAGCTGCAGCTCCATCGCGGGACTACCCATCACCTCACCAGCCCCTCTATTCCAGGATACTGGGTGGGAGTGACCCTGGGACAGGGTGGGGCGTGGCCACTACATAGGGGGCGTGGCCTCCTAGAAGTTGGCGTGGCCTTCTCCAGGGCGGGCCGCAGCTTACGTGGCCACAGTTGTATTTCCCAATACGAGCACTCAGGACTTCCATCCCACCCTTTGTCAACTAATACCAACCAAAAATTTCTGGCCACCTGTACTACAATACAATATTCCACTCGCCTACTCCATTTCTAACAAAAGACCAGTATGAAATAAGTGGTACAAGGTCAATATTAAAGAGCACCTCCTCCAAAGCTTTATTCAATGTCCGTTATAAAACAAAGAATAGTGCCTGACTGAGAAGAAGGTCGGGCTCTAGAAAGGGAGAAGGGTGACTAACAGAGACAGGCCTTATCCAAAATCCTTTCCGACGATAAGAGGGAACAGTACAGAGTTCTACCTCTAGACAACCAAAACTACATGAAGAAACAGCGCAAATCTCCACTACAAGGAGAATACGAAAAAAAGAATCCCAAATCCTCAACTGAGGTTGTCCACAATTATGCTCTCTTCAATAAAGAATTCCGGGATGAAATGCAGAGGATGTTCAAGGATCTACTCAAGGAAGCAATGAAAGAGATATCCAGAAAAATAAAAGAAGAAATGAAAGAAACAATAGAACAGAGGGTCGAGAAAATACAGGAAGAAATGAGAGCAGAAAAAAAAAAGCTGCAAAAAGAAGTGCCACAAATAAAGGACTAAGTAGATGAAATCAAAAATTCAGTAAGTGCCCTTAACAGTAGGATAAGTGCAGCTGAAGAGAGAACCAGCGAGCTTCAAGATGAGCAACAGAAATCCCACAGGGAACAACAAGCAATAGGAAAAGACCTCAAAATGGCTCTAAGGAGAAACAGAGACCTAGGGGATGATGCCAAAAGAAACAACATTAGAATTATTAGAGTACCAGAAGGACAGGAAGACAACCCCAATGAAAAAGTCACAGTCAAAGAAATTATTGCTAAAAAGTTCCCAGAGTTAAGGAATGCAGACATCCAGATCCAAGGAGCCAGAAGGGTACCAGATAAAAGAGACCTCAGAAAAAACACTCCAAGGCATATCATAGAACGATGGATGCTGTGGACAGAGACACAATATTACAAGCAGCAAGGTCAAAGAAGGAAATTACATACAAAGGAGCACCCCTTAGATTCACAGCAGACCTATCAGAGGAAACCCTCCAAGCCTGAAGGCAATGGTGGGATATAGTGAAAAAACTCAATGAAATGAACGCATCACCAAGAATACTCTATCAAGCTAAACTCTCACTCAAATTCAATGGAACGATATACCACTTTGTAGATAAACAACAGCTCAGGAACTTCATAGACTCAAAACCAAATCTAAAAGAAGGACTAAAGGGGCTCCTGTAAGATAAGAAGGAAAACATGTATAAACACAACCAACTCCTAGAGAAAGATGGCACAAAACCTCATGACAATAATCTCCCTTAATGTCAATGGTCTAAATGCACATACCAAGAGACATAGAGTGGCAAAATGGATCCAGAAACAGAAACCAAAATTATGCTGTCTACAAGAAACTCATCTGAACAATCAGAGCAAACAGACTCAAAGATAAAGGATGGAAAACAGTCCTGCAAGCAAACAGCACCCTCTAAAAAGCTGGGGTGGCCATACTAGTATCCGACAACATTAATTTCAGGCTGAAAAAGATTAGAAGGGACAGCAAAGGCCATTTTATCTTCATCAAGGGATACGTACAACAGGAAGAAATCACACTCTTAAATGTATACACACCTAATGAAGGAACAGCTAGATACTTAAAACAACTGCTAACAGATATTAAGGAGGACATTGCTAGCAACACAATAGTAGTTGGAGACTTCAACATCGTCTTATCACCTCTGAATAGATCAACAAGAACAAAACTCAGCAAGGAAACATTGGCTTTGAATGAAGAAATAGGAGAGAAAGGACTTATAGACCTATACAGGGCTTTACACCCCAAAAAGAAAGAATACACATTCTTCTCCAGTGCGCACGGAACACTTTCCAAAATAGACCATGTGCTAGGCCACAAAACATACCTCAATAGAATCAGGAAGATAGAAATAGTATCAACAATCTTTTCAGACCACGATGCACTGAGGATAGAAGGGAATCACACACAGACACAGAGAACCAAATCAAACACATGGAAACTAAACAACTCACTGCTAAACAACGAGTAGGTCAGGAAGGAAATCAAGGACGAAATCAAAAGGTACCTGGAAACAAATGGGAATGAAGACACAAGCTACCAGAATTTATGGCATGCAGCTAAAGCTGTATTAAGGGGAAAATTTATAGGCCTGCAAGCATATCTCAGGACGGAAGAAAGGATGCACATAAGCAACTTGACTTCACAGCTCAAGATCTTAGAAAAGGATCAACAGAAGGAGCTCAAATCAGGCAGAAGGAAAGAGATCATAAAACTTAGAGCAGAAATCAACGACATGGAAACCAAAGAAACAATCCGAAAGATCAAAGAAACCAAGAGCTGATTCTTCGAGAAAATAAACAAGATAGATAAACCACTAGCAACAGTCACAAAGAAACAGAGAGAGAGAACCCTAATAAACTGAATCAGAAGTAAGAATGGAGATATCACAACGGAAACCAAAGAAATTCAAAAGATCATCAGAGACTACTTTGAAAGTCTGTATGCCACGAAACAAGAGAACCTAGAAGAAATGGATAAATTCCTAGATTCCTATAATCTCCCAAAGCTGAGTCAAGAAGATATAGAATACCTGAATAGACCTATTTATATCAAGAAAATTGAAACTGTAATCAAAAGTCTTCCCAAAAACAGAAGCCTAGGTCCAGATGGATTCACTAGCGAATTTTTCCAAACATTTAAAGAGGACCTACTGCCATTCCTTCTCAAACTTTTCCAGGAAATTGAAAAAACAGAAACTACCCCAAACAGTTTCTATGACGGCCATATCACTTTAATCTTGATCACGACCATCCTGTTGTTCGTCGATTGCCTCGAGCAGGCCCCAGTAACGTCTCCTTCGTCCTAGCCCTGAGATTTTTTTTTTAAAGTGCCATATTCAAGTCTCTTTCCGGGTTAGGAGAATGAGACCCATCATTGTTACTGGTATTTGGCATATTGGGTATACCACGGGAAGTTTGCCAGACTCTGCCGTGTGGGCAGTTTACATTTGGTAGCCTGCCAGTTTGTCCAAAGTAGGAATGAGATGATAAGATGTCCGGGAACTGAGTGTGATAATCTCTGGATCCTGGCCGTTGTTGGGGTTACACCGCAGTTGGTGGGTGTAACTGTCTAGCTACTGGCAGGTCCAGTTCCAAACCGTGCAGGCTTGGAGATCTCAGCCCCGGGTCCCACACACCTGGGTTCCTCTGCCAGTTCTTTTATGCGTGAGGCTCATCCAAGTGTGTGGAGAGTGGTCCCAGCATGGCCTTGGCTGGGGCCCAGAGGTCTTCAGCTGTTGGGCCCTGGTGGAGACAGTCAGGCACAGGGTAGAAGACTCTGCCTTGTTCTCTCCCGGGAACTGAGTGTGATAATCTCTGGATCCTGGCCATTGTTAGGGTTACACGGCAGTTGGTGGGTGTAACTGTCTAGCTACTGGCAGGTCCAGTCCCAAACTGTGCAGGCTTGGAGATCTCAGCCCTGGGTCCCACACATCTGAGTTCCTCTGCCAGTTCTTTTATGCGTGAGGCTCATCCAAGTGTGTGGAGAGTGGTCCCAGCATGGCCTTGGCTAGGGCCCGGAGGTCTTCAGCTGTTGGTCTTCAGCTCTCTAATACTAAAAGGAAACAAAGACACCACAAAAAAAAAGAAAATTACAGGCCAATATCCCTGATGAACATGGATGCGAAAATTCTGAATAAAATACTAGCAAATAGAATTCAACGACTCATCAAAAAGACCATACACCATGACCAAATGGGATTAATCCCGGGGATGAAAGGATGGTTTAACATTCGGAAATCAATCAACATAATCCATCATATCAACAAAAAAAGATAAAAATCATATGATCATATCAATAGATACATAGAAAGTATTTGACAAGATCCAGCACCCATTTATGATGAAAACCCTCACCAAGTTGGGAATAGAGGGGACTTTCCTCAATATAGTTAAAGTCATCTACCATAAACCTACAGCAAGCATCATCCTCAATGGGGAAAAACGAAGAGCCTTCCCCCTAAGATCAGGACGAGACAAGGATGCCCAAGATCTCCACTACGGTTCAACATAGTACTGGAAATACTAGCAATAGCGATTAGTCAAGAAAAAGATATTAAGGGTATCCTGGTAGGAAAGGAAGAAATCAAGCTCTCACTATTCATACATGATATGATACTATACTTAGAGAACCCTAAAACCTCTACCAAGAAACTCCTAGAAACAATAGTCTTTTATAGTAAAGTTGCAGGTTATAAAATCAATACCCAAAAGTCCTTGGCTTTCCTATACGCAAATAGTGAGAGAGAAGAAAATGACATGAAGAAAACAATCCCGTTCACAATTGTACGCCAGAAAATCAACTACCTAGGAATTAGTTTAACTAAGGAAGTAAAAGACCTGTACAAAGAAAACTACAAAATGCTCTTTCTGGAAATAAAAGAGGACGTGAGGAAATGGAAAAATATTCCCTGTTTATGGATCGGGAGAATTAATATTGTCAAAATGGCAGTACTTCCCAAAGCACTGTACAAATTCAATGTGATCCCTATTAGGATACCCATGACATTCTTTAAAGAAATGGAACGAACACTCCTAAAATTTATATGGAACAATAAGCCACCACGAATAGCTAAAGCAATTCTTGGGGGAAAATTGTGAGGAATTAACCTCCCGAACCTCAAACTCTACTACAAAGCAGTAATAATTAAAACAGCATGGTATTGGAACAATGGCAGAGCTGGAGACCTATGGAACAGGGTTGAATATACTGACATCTCCCCTCAAACATATGATCACCTAATCTTTGATAAAAGAGAAAGAAATGCGAAGTGGAGTAAGGAAAGCCTTTTTAACAAATGGTGCTGGCAAAACTGGACGACTACATGCAAAAAACTGGGCTTAGATCTCTGCCTAACACCATGTGCAAAAGTAAGATCAAAATGGATCAAAGATCTCAATATCAGACCGGAATCCATAAGGTACACTGAAGACAAAGTTGGCAAAACATTGAAGCTAATGGTATCTTCAAAGATGTCACGCCACTGGCCAAGCAAGTGAAAACAGAGATAGACAAATGGGACTACCTTAAACTAAGAAGCTTCTGCACCTCCAAAGAAATAGTGACCAAAATACAAAGACAGTCTACAGAATGGGAAAGGATATTCTCCAAATTCACATCCGACAAGGGGTTGATATCAAGGATATACAAAGTGCTGGTTAAACTCCACAAGAAAACAACATCTAACCCCATCAAAAAGTGGGGCAACGAAATGAACAGAAACTTTCTCAAAGAAGAAATCCGAATGGCTAAAAGGCACATGAGAAAATGCTCTACATCATTAATCATCAGGGAGATGCAGATCAAAACAACAATGAGATATCATTTCACACCACAGAGACTGGCCCATATCCAAAAGAACAAAAGTAACCTGTGTTGGCGTGGATGTGGCGAGAAAGGGACCCTCCTTCACTGCTGGTGGGAATGCCGACTGGTTCAACCCTTTTGGAAAACAGTATGGACGCTTCTCAAAAACTTAGAAATTGAGCTCCCATTTGACCCAGTGATACCACTCCTGGGAATATACCCTGGAGAGGCAAAAAAGTATAGTCGAATTGACATCTGCACTTGTTTGTTCATTGCAGCACTGTTTACAATAGCTAGAATATGGAAAAAAACCTGAGTGCCCGAGAGCAGATGACTGGTTAAAGAACCTTTGGTACATCTACACAATGGAGTACTATGTAGCTGTTAGAAAAAATGAAGTCATGAAATATACATACAAGTGGTACTACATGGAAAATATCATGCTAAGCGAAATGAGTCAGAAAGAGAGGGACAGACATAGAAAGATTGCATTCATCTGGATAACATAAAGTAACAAAATAAGAGACTATCACCCAAGAGCAGCTGTGATAAATACCAGGAGGTTCACTCAATGGCTTAGAAGCCAGCCACACACTGTAGGGGCAAAGGCAGTTCAGATAGAGAAGGGAGCATCAAATAAAGTGTGCTGGGACGATCTGCACAGGATGGGAGATGCATACTGAAAGTAGTCTATAGACTGAACATGAGTGCCACCCAATGTCTCTTCTGCAGAGCACGGCACCCAGAAAGAGAAATAGAACAAAAGGGAGTGCCCTGCCACAGAGGCAGGGTGGAATGGGGGATGGGAGGGGTGGGAGGGATACTGGGATTGTTGGGGGTCGAGAATGGGCACTGGTGGTGGGATGGGTACTCGATCATAGTATAACTGAAACCCAAGCACAACAACTTGTAAATCTACTACTGTACCTCATGGTGTTTCACTAATAAAAAATAAATTAATTAAAAAAGAAAAAATTATATAAATTTTATTGAGATAATATCTGCTTATAGCATTATAAATGTCAGGTGTTCAACATTACTTGATCATTATTATTTGCATCATGATTACACAGAAGGCTTCATGCTGGGATATTTCTCTTCAATAAAGTGCAATCCCTGTCTCAAAAAACAAGGCAAAACACCACCATGGGGTTGTTCCTGGGAACAGAATCATAAATAGCCCCTGACCACTGCTGGGTATGGTCCAACCCCCCCACACCTCAATAAATAAATTTTAAAGGAAAAATATCTATTTCTATCCTATGGAAAATACATATTGATAACTAATTCAGTGATATAGTTTCATTCAGGTGAACATAAGAGCAAGAGGCGTGTTGATGTCTTTTTTATATATAAATTCAGACAAGTGTTTTATAGCTTTCTACATATATTACCATATAAAATAATACAGTTATAAATAAAAAATTTAAATATCAGTAAAAACAACTAATTTAAGATGTGAAAAGTATCCAAGTATCGAAGTGTAGCTCATGGTAAATTTGTTTCTAAGCTCTTACCAATGCTTTGTAGTTTTAGACACATTGATCAGTCTATTAGTTTGGTTCCTTTTCTACAAAATGGAAATGACAATAGGGTTTTTGTGTGGACTGAAATGGAAAAAGTTAACATAGCATAATGCTAAGCATAAAATTGTCAAGCTATTATTAAATGTTGGTTTCTTTCGGCTGTTATAGAAATAGAGGGCAGAGATTACAGAGTGCAGTTTTTGTTCCTTTGTGGAAACTTTTGTTACACTAGCTATATTTTCAAATCATTCTGCTAGCTGGTGTAAGTGATGCAAGGAGTCCTTATTAGACTGTTTTTCTGCCTCAGTTCACTGGCAGAGCTAATGTTAAATGAGTGCTACCTGGATGTTGTATTTTTTCCTGCTAGGTCTTAATAGCAACAGGCAAGTGAATTCTTCAATCTAAATCCTGCTTCAGCAGTGTTTTCCTACACCATCCACAATACCTGATCATAGAGGTTAATCTAATATTAGGCCCATGTTCTGGTTTGGTTTGGTTAATTTGAAGACCAACATGTGGCTTTGGTTAACTCTTGTAATTTTTGACCTCACAAGTGGTGCACAGGAGGCCTAGCTGTCATTTCTAATTGAAGTCTAAGGCCCTAGGATGTGGTGCTAGTGATCAAAAGGGAAATTCAAACAGAACACAGGAGCCATGAAGGGTCACATCTGACCATTCCTGGGACCTCCATGCTTATATCCAGTAATATTGGGGGACCATATAGTTCTGTTAATGAATCCAGGGAGCCCACACATGCAAAGAATGTACACTACTCTCAGTACTATTTCTCTGGCCCAGTGACTTTGGTTTTTTGGAGACCAAGTTTTGGTGTGTGATCAACCGTTTCCACTAGAAGAGGATTGGTTTTTTGTGTGTACCAAACTCAATGGTACTCAGGGCTTACTCCTGTCTATGTGCTCAGGGATCACTCCTGATGGGGATCAGAGAACAGGATGGAGTCCCAGGTATTAAACCTGGATAAGCTGCATGGAAGACAAGTGCCCTAACCCACTGTACTATCTCACCAGCTCGTCACTCTGAGGAACAATCTTGTTACTAGAATTTTGCTTCATACTATAAATTTTAGATCTGGATATTCAATCTGTAGGAAATACTTGTGTGGTTTTACTTAAAATCTGAAAGTATTAGAGGAAGTAATTTTCAGCTGATGTGTGTGTTTATCATTAATTGGTTCCTTCATAAATAGTAAATCCCCAGATGTTAGAATAATTCAGCTAAGATTTTTAAATATAATACCCAAACCAACTTGGGTACAGACTTCATTAAAATTCAGTGCATGAAGTATAAGAATAGTTAGTAATTTTTAACTTTCTGTGGCCAGAGAGAGTGAGAGTACAGGAGATAAGGTGGTGCCTTACAGCTGACCACTTTTCTAGCCATGGCAAAGCATATGGTCTCTTGAGCACTTCCAAGCATCCCTCTTGAATAATTTGCCAGGAATAACCCCTGAGCACTACTGGTGTTGGCCAGACCCCAATTAAAACAAAAGAGTAAAATTTTTCTTTTTCATGAAATCAAAAACCATCTGTAAAGTACTTAAATAATATGAACATTTAATGATTAAGGAGATTTAGTGATTAGATGAGAAATATATTAGTGATCCAAAATAACCCTGAAATGTTCTAATAAAATGATAACCAAATGATACTGGATGGATACTCTGCAGGGATGTTGAAATTATGCAAAATGTTGGATTTACACAGAACAGGAAAAAAGCCAGGTGCCAAGTCTACCCTGAAAGTCACTGTGATTAAGAAACTGACAGAATCTGCCTTCAGGAGTAGCAGATGGTAACATGACTATATTGTATGTATTTAAAAGGTACTGATCTTTTTCACAGGTGATTTCTCATTATCAATGTAAAGAACAGCATGATGCCCACAGATTTGAGAAAATCAGCAACATTATTAAGCAATTTAAACTGAGCTGCAGGTAAGATATCTCATTTAATTTATTTATCTCTGTGATTTTTCAGATGTTCACATAACTATATTTCTTTGTATTATTATTAGAGATGCGCCACTTAAAAATTAGGTAAAAGGTTTGAGGAATGTGTCATAGAATGTCCTAGAGTGCACATATATAGCTGGAATAGCTTTATGCACTCCTACCCTAGTAGCTTGTTGGGACTACCAAAATTTGATATAAAACTACTAAAAGGTTTGAGGAATGTGTCATAGAATGTCCTAGAGTGCACATATATAGCTGTAATAGCTTTATGCACTCCTACCCTAGTAGCTTGTTGGGACTACTATTGTATATGGGATTGACAGAAACATATTAAGCTATACATATATTCAAAATAGTTTCTTTGTTCAAAAACCCCCCTAAACTTTAAAGAAGCCTACAATTGACTAAAAGTCATGTCCTCTAATATAAACTGAACTGATGTAAAAGAAAAAATATATATATAAAAGCTAAGTAGAGTATCTTCAAGATGCCCAATATTACGTTGGAAGAAATAAATAGAAAATATGTCTTGAAAATGAAGAAAGGATAATTTACCCTCTACAAAACCAAAATTTGATATAAAACTACAGTAATTCAAATATTGACATCCTAATTCAGGTGTATAAAGAGAAAGTCTAGAAATATTAATATTGCTTTGATCAAATATAGTTTGAGTTTTAAAATTGTGAATATAAAAGGAATAGCTCAAAATCATAACTAGTTAATAATAATAATAAAAATTCTTACTCTAAAAAACTTATACACAGAGTACAATATTCTTTAGCACACTTTGAAACTTCCTGATGTTTGTTTTTTTAAATGAAAATCTGTTTATAATAATTTTTCAACATTTATTTTTGAGGAACAGAGAAATAGTTCAATCCTGACACCACATATGGTCTCCTGACCTTCATTAGGGGTGATTCATGAGCACAGAACCATGAATAAGCCCAGCAGAGCTGGTGTGAACCAAAAAAAAATACTAATTTTTTGAGAGATAAATTATTCTTGCAAGTGTTTAATAATATCAGTAACTATTAAAAATGCTAATAATTTGTTAAAATATATAAAATTATAATTATTTTGATACATATGAAACTGTAATGTAGTTTGCCATTTGTAGAAAATTTATAGAAAACATCAAAAATTAGCTTGAAAACTTTTCTTAGATGGGTCGATTGAATATCCAGATTTTACACAATAAAGCAACATGGTTATTTTTTCAGGTTGTGTAAAAAAAACAAAGGAAAACATAGACCCTCAAAACTCTACTCAAGTATTGCTATATATGCTTTCTAGACTTGAAGAATCTTTCTCCTGCCAAAGGCCATTTGGATATTTATAACATCTCTCTTGGGCCACACAATACAGGCAATTAACAAGAACATATATATGTTTCATCATTTACTAAGGTCAGACCACATGATTTTGAGAGCCTTATAAGGGCTTGACATTCCCCACCCTACTTTCCTTCTTCTAGGAAAAAAATCAGGCAGTTGACAGATATTTATAAATTCTGACTATATGACACTCATTAAAATTAAGTTTTCAAAAACATGGAAGCAAATTTGAGCCAAGAATCAAGTTGAAAGACCAACTATTATGACCTATATACTTGTGTTCAAATTTTGGTTTCCAGTTTCAAAAATGATTTCATTACATTTTTTTAAAAAGAGGGGCCGGAGCGACAGCACAGTGGGTAGGGCATTTGCCTTGCACGTGGCCGACCCGGGTTCGATTCCCAGCATCCCATATAATTCCCCGAGCACCGCCAGGAGTAATTCCTGAGTGCAGAGCCAGGAGTAACCCCTGTGCATCGCCGGGTGTGACCCAAAAAGCAAAAAAAAATTTTTTTAAAAGAGAGAAAAATGTAAATGTCCTTGGTTATGAGTAAATAGGAACTTGTCCTGTATTTCCTAATAAAGAGTGGTGTCATATGATAGATGACATTAAATTTTTAAAAATGGTTACAATATTATAGTATTTTATCTGTTTAGTTTTATACTGTTATATCTGAATAATTGTCACCACTCCCACCAATAAAATTCCAGTTCCATCCCACCACTGAAAGACCCCTCTGCTCCCACTCCATCTTTCTCTTTCCCTCTAGTAAACCACAATAGTTTCAACTGAGTTGTAATTTGTTTTTCTTTAGTTCATTTGCTTTAGTAATTCATATTCCACGTATGCGTGAAACCATCCAACAATGGTTGTGTTTTGTTTTTTTACTTATTTCACTTAGCAGGATCACCTTAGATCCCATCCATTTTGTTCCAAATGGCACAATTTTATCTTTTTAAGGGCATAGTAGTATTCAACTGAGTATATGTACTAAAGCATCTGTATACTGTATAGTCTATCATCTATTAAAGAGATGTATAGGTTGATTCTGTATTTTGAAAATTGTGAACACAAAGGTGCAGATAGTAAAGTAAAGGCCCTCCCGTTGATCATCAATTTGCTCGAGCGGGCCCGGTAACGTCTCCATTGGAGACTTTGTTGTTACTGTGTTTGGCATATCGAATACGTCACGGGGAGCTTGCCAGGCTCTGCCGTGCAGATATCATTCTGAATTAGAAATTTCATATTATTCAGATAAATGCAGGAGCAATATTTAGAAGCAGTATTGCCAGGGCAGATAGAATTTTCAGTTTAATTTTTCAAGGAGTCTTCATAGCAGGTGTATCAGTTTATATTCCCTAAAACAGTATATCAGTTTATTTTCCTCCATATCCTCGCCAACATATCTGCTTATCTTTTGAATATAGGCCATTTGCACCTATGTAAGCTTAGGTCTAATTGTGACTTTGATTTTCATTGAAATAAATGATACATTTCTTTTCAAAATGCTTTTTTCATCTTACGTTGTTTTCCAGAGGTTCTGTGCCTCATCTTGGAGCTCCTTGATCTTTTCCTCAACTGCTGCTATTCTGCTGCCTCCACTGCATTTTTCATATCACCAAATATATTCTTCATTTCTGAAACTTTTTAATGTAGAATTCTCATTTCTTCTATTATATTTTCTTTTACTTTGCTGACATTCTATGCCATTGTTTCTTGGAGCTCAATAAACACCCCAAAATGGTGTTATTCATTCATTCTCAGAGCGTTTACAGTTATGATTTGTGCTGGTGGATTTAAAAAAAAATACTGGGTGGGATGGGGGGGATGGGGTGTGGGAGGAATACTGGGATTCGTGGTGGTGGGAAATGGGCACTGGTGGAGGGATGGGTATTTGATCATTGTATAATGGAAATCCAGGCACAAAAAATTTGTAAGTCTACAACTGTACCTCATGGTGTCTCACTAATAAAAATTACATAAATAAATAAAGAACACAAAACCAAAAAATACTATTTTAGTTACCATCATTTATAGTACATTCTATTAATGATACAATGTTCCAGCCCCACTTTCTCCACCAAACTGTCTGCTTTCCTTCACCATTGTCTTAATATTCCCCTTCTCAATTCCTCTACTCTACCCTTGTAAGCTCAATTCTCTTCACTGTGCTAAACTCAGTACTATAGATCAGTTATCAGATTCCGTTGCCTATGCCCATTTTTTATTCCCTCACTATGCTTCTTTATATCCCATGAAGTGTTTTTAGTATTTCAGTGCTACTATCCTGGGTGCATATATTAATAATTGTTATATATTTATTTTATATTAATCCATTTATTGTTATTGTGTAGTAATATTTTTGACTGTAGATAACTGTTTTGGTTGGAAGCCTATTTAATATTATGAAACTACAGCGATTCCTGCATGTCCTATTGGCTTGGACTACTAGTTTTCATCTTGCCGGTTGACGTATTGACGTATATTATGTCATTATACTTAAGTGGCATTTTATTTTCAGTCTGTTAAGCCTGTTCCCTCTGATTGATGGGTTTAGTACATTTACTTAAGGATCACAACAGATATATAGGGAATTCCTACTACCATTTTGTCATTTTTCCATGTTTCTATTAATTTATTTCCTTCAGTTTTCGGTGCACTTTTAAAAATTCAGATACAAGCGCTTCTTTAACTTTTCCTGTAATGAAGGCCTAGCATTGGGAAATTACTATAACCTCTGTTATATCTAAAAGATTTTTGTAGATTATGGTATTCTCTGTCCGTTTTTTATAATTGCTTATTTTGAACATTTAATTTTATTTTGTCCTAGTCTACACAGTTTTCATTGTGAAGTCTGATTAAAGTGCTAAAGAATTACTCTTACATATTACCTTATTTTTCTCACTAGCTTCCTTCAATTTTGTTTCCTAATTGAACTCTTTTTAGTGCTTTTTTATTGAATCACTGAGAGATATACAGTTACGAAGTTGTTCATGTGTAAGTTTCAGTCGTTCAGTGTTCCATCACCCATCACCCACCATTGTGTGTTTCTACCACCAGTCTCTGCAGATTCCCTCCCCACCAAACATGGCCTGTCTCTATGACATATACTTCTCTCTCTCTCTCAGCATGGTGGTTTGCAGTACTATTACTGAAAGGGTATCACTTTACTTCCTTTCAGCAATCAGTTAGAGTCCAGAGTAATCATTTCCAGCTATGACAGTCATAAGTACCTTCTCTGTCCTAATGCACTTCACCCCACCCCACTCCTTATGTCAAGTTTGTAATCATGGACCAAGTCTTCCTGGCCTTTGTTTCTATTGTATTTGGGTATTATTTTCATACCATTTTTTTATCCTGCAAATGAGTTTGATCATTCTATATCTATATCTTTGACTCATTTCACTCACCATGATACTCTCCATGCCCATCCATGTATGTAAAATCTTATCACGCCGAAGGTTGTATGTTCACGGGCTCACTGGACGGCACTGTTTCACTGCCTGCGTTCGGTGCTCTTGAGCCGCTGTGTGTGGCCTGGATCAGAACGGCTGTTGGTCAAGGGCAGACGGAAGAAGAAACGAGGGCCAGGCCGGTCTATATCTCGAGCGGGCCCAGTAACGTCTCCATTGGAGACTTTG